TCCACTACATGGAGATCTGACCGGTTGTAGTGGGGGGTTGCATCAGGGGTCATACGAGCGACTTTTGACCCTATGACGTCCAACATTTTATGAACCAATCTGTTGATGTTTCTAGTGGGATACACACAATTCTGTGCACTGCACGCCAAGAACTCGCTGCAACAGACCGTTTCGTTGGCTAATCCCTCACATCAACCAGAACGCATGTTATGTAACAACTCTTCCAGATCCTAGTGTAGTAAAGACAAGTAAAACAAAATTTGGAACTACAAAAAAATAAATGCAATAGAATCTGTGTTTTAATCAGATTGCATTTTTTGACTGATCATATTAGTTGGCAAGGGATTCTATAGTGCTAAAATAATGCTGCATAGGGTCTTTGAATTGTTTCCTATTGTTTAATTGAATAGTTGAACTTCATTTGAATTATATATATAGTCTTTAAATCAAGAAATACTCTGTGAGAAATTTTCAGCTGTGTTCATAATCTTTTTATAATCTTTGGATGTTGACACAGGAAATGCATGATCTTTTGCAACAGAATACTGCCTTTTACATCCAGTAATTCAGAATAAATAGCATAGTGAAAAAACTTGACAGTTATTGGGTTATCTGAAACCCTGAGTTCATTGTTTATGAGAGTTTATCACAGTTGCATCTCTGTCTGCATAGTTGACAGTCGTAAGTCTACAATTCCCACTTAGGCCAGACCAATTAATTTTTTTGTTTTTCAGGAACATCATTCAGGGCCGGATTAAGATCTATCGAGGCCCTAAGCACTTAACAAGATTTTAGTGTCCCCATAATATATGTACCGGTAATTCAATGATAAACCATAAAATAAAAGGTTTTTTTTCTTTAAATTAAACAAATTTACATTAAGATGGAAAACAATGTTTATTTATAATAATTGAAAAATTTCTCCATCTTTTTAAGTCTTTGATCAGATTCTCCAAACTAATCTTACGTAACATCTATTGGGATTTTTAATATACTTCAAAATTTCAACAGAGGGGTTTCTCGTCAACCAGACCATTTGCAATTTTGCAACGTATGGTGACCCATGGTAAATCCAGCAATGACAAATACCTTGATGCCCTATATGTGCTTATTTTGCCTAATGATAAATCCAGCCCTGTATCTAGAACAAAACCGGTTTCGAATCCCCGGTTGTACGTGGCAAAGTAGGGTCGCCTGTCCAACCTCGTGGGTTTTCTCCGGGGCCTCCGGTTTCCTCCCACTGCTAAAGACCCCTACGCGCAAGCGAATTATGTAAATAAAATTAAACCATATGTTAGTCCCGAAATGACCTAGTTTGTGTCAAGTGGACGTTAAATCCCATTTCTCTCTCTCTCTCTCTAGAACAAAACCTAATCTAAAAACAAAAAAAATATTTGGCTGCTCCTCTGAAAAGCTTAAAATTGAACTCCATACCTTTTAACATTAAAATGTTACACAAAACATTGTTCATGAAACTTGGGTGGTATGAAGACCCTGAAGTATTATAAATTAAATTGGTTTGGTCTAAATGAATCTTGATAAAATCACAAGAATTTGGTTAATTGGTGCTTTCCGCTGTGTTTTGGATTGAAATGTCATTTAAGAATGTAACCAATAAACTATGTTTTATTCAACAATGAGAAAGAAATATTTTGAAATCTTACCTCGTTTGTTACAGAGATGTCTTTTGCTGATAATTGTCAACTGTTGTTGACGTTAAACAAAAGTGCATTAGAAAAAAATGATGTTTGCAAGTCTTAGATTCTAAAGTTGATACACATGTATCCACATGTTGCTGAGATGTTTGTACTTTAATTTAATTTTTGTTGTGTCAAGCATGGGAACACAGAGTTCTTCTAAATCCCAAAATTTCTCTTTTGTTTCACAGTAGTCGTGTTAAGAGTTAAGACTGTTAGCTAAAATAATCAAGGCATGTACTATAATTTTTTTGAAGATCAACTAAATTCTTTGAAACAAATCGTTTAATGCCATTTTGGCTCTTGAAAAAAAAAGTGGTGTATTTTTTTTTTAAAACTTAACAAGTACTAGTGATATCTTTTGAAGATGTAAGTCTTTATTTAAATTTTAAAACATTCCCAGATCAACCCTTTCTTTAATCATCTTTAATATTGACTTAATATTAAAGGCGTTGACCATTTTCCTTTGAAGATAATATTTGATGAAGAAATCTATTTAATCATCGGGTGGTCCACTAAAAATAGTCTGGACTTTAACGCTGCGTTACTCAGTAATCATACCAGAGAACATTACCTGAACGAACATAAGCTGTAGTGTGTTCGATTTATGTGCAACATGCTAGTGTTCGTTCAGTTAAAACATCTTAATTTTCCATAGAACGGTTACCAAGCAATATATAGTTAAAGTTTGGTCAAATTTTGGCGTGCCACCCAATATATTTGTGACTGTAGTCTATCTCTTCATCTGTTCATGATTGGCGCTGAAACTAGGGCAGTCGTGAGACTCACATTTGGGGTATAAGGGCACCTCAAGCTGGACAGTGACTTAGGCTTTCTGGTGGTTGACTACTACCTGATCAGGGCTCTACCTACATGTATGCATCGCCGTGTCTATACAGCTAGTAAAAGTCCTATTTAAAAGAAATTTGATGATGTCATTTTAATTACCAATATAATAAAAATGTATTACCCTATACATTGGATAGACAAATATAAGTGAAGTAATAAGTAATGTTATACATTAACACATGTGTAAAAGTAAATTTAGAGGAAATATAAAAAGTTAGTTTTGGGGATATGAAAAAGTTAGGTGTGCATATAATCATGACAGCTGATGTATATTCCATGCCTAATAAATTTAATAATATAAGTTTGTCCACTTGAATGGATATTTGTACATCTGTTTACTTATTTATTACTTATATTGTAAACAATTAAATCTCAATTATATATACATCCTTCTTAACCAGAAGACTCATTATCTACTTTTTAACTCATTTTTCACACTGAAATGAAATGCAGAAGACAATTTGTCTACCAAAGTATGTTCTGTTATTCTCAGAAATATGTACTAATGTTTTATTTGTATATTAGATTTAACACTTTTTAGCACATTTTTCAAACGAACAAAAATATAATGCAGACGACCATTTGTCAGAATTATGTACTAAAGTTTTATTTAATGCTTATAAGACATATAAAAATAGATTTCCCTAAAAATAAACACACTTATATGCTTGATAACGATGCCTGTATGTGTATTGAAATGTAGCATGTTAATAAAATTCAGAAGTAGTATATCCATGTAAGTGCGTTTATTTTAAAGTTTTATTTGTAAATTAGAAGTAACACTTGTGAGGTTTTTCTTGATCCTCCCACTGCGAAACCCCCCTACGTGCACGGGAATTATTAAAATAAAATTGTGCCATATCTTAGTCCAAAAATGTCCTAGTTTGTGTTGAGTGGAAATTACACCCCATCTCTCTCTCTCTCTCTCTCTCTCTCTCTTCATACATGTAGGTTAATTGGCAAATTGATTTTAAATGTTAACAGCCATGTTTAAAAGTTTCTGTGCACTGACTTAAATAATCGAGCAGCTTCAGGTTCCTTCTTTTTGCATTTGATGAGCCCATTAGCTGGTTACCTATTTAGAATTAATAGTTTTCAAGATGGTTTTTAGATTTTAGAATTAATTATCCTTTTTAATTGGAGGATACTGCAAGCTTAGGAATGCATCAGCTTGAACTAATTGTGTATTGTTAAATGTAAATGTAGCATGTTCATACAACATAACCATATTAGTGAAACATTTTTTGGGAGGTGACACAGTGACTTCATTAATTGTTAGCTTGAATTAGTCTTTTATCCCCGGTAACATTTTGAACCATTTCATGACTCTGAGGGTTGTCCTGAACCATTTGACGACCCAGTACGCTTACCTGAACCATTTGTGCTAGGGTACAACTGTTGTTTAAGTCCCAGGGAAAACTCTTTTAATATTCTCGAAGATGGTTTTTAGATTATAGAATTAATTATACCATTAATTGGAGGATGCTGCAAGCTTAGAAATGCATTGGCGTGAACTAATTGGGGCCTGAGCAGGGGAAACTTAAAATTTTACATATTCAGGTGTTTTCAATTTCCTTTCCAAAACCACTTGATAGATTAACCAGTTTCTGTGGGTGTTTTGATTTTTTTGAGATTTGTTCAAATAAAGTTACTTTCCCACAAAATTTATGTATATTCTCACTCAGCAAAATCTCTTAGCAAGTGGGCCCTAGTTACTACACATTTCACTCTGTGCTATATCTAAATAATTCTTGAGAGAGAGAGAGAGGGTCCACTTAACACAAACTAGGTCATTTTGGGACTAACATATGGTTCAATTTTATTTCATTAATTTGGTTACATGTAGGGGGTCTTTAGGGAGGAAACCAGAGGACCCGGAGAAAACCCATGAGGTTGGACAGACGACCCTACTCCTTGTCACGTACAAGCGGGGTTTCGAAAACCACACCATTTGACTCACTGACATACCTTCTGATGCAACACGCGCGGGTTAACCATTCTGACACACAAACCCACATCAGCTTTTTGTACTGTGCATGATTAAGACGGTTTATTAACATTTTATTAATAAAAAAATCGATATTTGTGTTTATCACAATACAATTGCATTATATTAACATTGCTAGTTATATTACTGGTTCACACTAGGCATTAACTACCCCTTTAATTAGCCCTCACAACGAGATGCTTTATATATTGACAACAATCAACTGCACAGTAAATATTTTTTTAAAGGGAGGTTCAGATTAAGAGCAAACTTATGTTGACATTTTCTACAATTTTTACCTGTAAAGACTGTATATTATACATGATTATATTTGTGTGCATATACTTGACAATCAATTTCCGTCATCTCAACTACACTGATTCACATGTACATCAAACATTTTAAAAAGGAAAGAGAAATCTTCCGAGCATTAAATTGTGTATGATGAATAGTTATAGTTGTTTGATATGCTCCGATGACGCTATTTACCTGTTGGTATAGAAGCTAATAAGATGTGATTTGTATTTATCTCTTGTAAACGTTATATTTATCTTTTGTTGTGGAGAGCTGTTGATTCTAGTTGAGGTTTATTTTACGAGGACAGACAACACTAGACCTGACCTAGGGCTTATAGTCATAAGACCGGATAAAGTATAACTTATAAGCTGTTCTTACTCTCTTAAACAGTTGGTCGTAAGAGTCTAAGACGTGAGGATTACATTGTTTAAAAGTTAGTTATAAAGGAATACTTGTATGGATTGGACAATAGTTAGTAAGCTTACCCATTTTCTTTTTTAAAAAGTCTTTTTGTTTCGATAGAATTTAAATGCTATTCATCTTAATGCACAGAATATTAAGTATTATAAAACAATTTCATCTTAATTTAAACATTGATATAGAAATCTGAATGTTAATTATTATAAAATGATATATTGCTGAATAAAACTCAAACCAAAATGTTCTGCAGACCTTTTGATGAAAAGATATGTTTTGCTCGGTGATTGGTCTAAATATATTTTAAAATCCATTAACCTTTGGAACGGTTTTGGAGATTTGGTGAAACCTGAAGGCATAGTTTGCAGTTGCACATTCAAGTTGTTGAACTTTTTTTTTTCAATTTTATACATTGTGATTATTTTTTAAATAAGTGTTTTAGATGTCAAATAAGTGTTTTAGATGTCAAATATGTTATTATTTTCAGTCTGCTTCTAAACATGACCTTAAAATTTGTCTTTTAAGATTTCCCTGAAGTACATACATGTAGGCCTATATTTAGTTATAAAGTAATAGTACATGTGCTATGAGTACAACACTTATTTATGATCTTTGTTTCATAAATTAAACTCACTGTCAAATCAACCAAATTGGATGAAACTTAAGTCTCGTTGGCCACATCACTTTAGAAGTCATAGACATTTAAATGAAATTTATCTGGGTGGTTAATGTTGTACAATGGATATTTTATGGTCATTGTTTTAAGTGACATCTGAAAAAAGAGTTGACACAAAGAAAAGTTTTGTACTTAAATTAGAAATTATATTAAAAGCAGATATTGGTTTAATGTAAATTTGAAGGAGGACATTTTGGGAAATATATGATACAAAAGAGTTTCTTTAAAATCGTGTATTAAATGCATTTTAATATTAAAAGTGTATGTTCTGCATCAGGGAGCAACAATGAGCCAGTGAGAAAGGGGCTGGCTCATGTTGAATGAGAAAGTTTCTCAGGAACAGCATTTAATCAATTAGATGGGGCTGAAAAATGAGGTTCTGTATAGTTGTTGGTGTGCATGCAAAAAAACATTGATAGTTGAAATTAACGTCATAACCCACTGCATGGCCATATGTGCCTATATTCATTAGATTGGTTGGTGTAGAAAAGTAGGATGTTAAACCCTATTACATTTATTCTAATTCATGCACCCCCACTACCCCTCTTTTTCCAACAGAGTTATTGTCTGATTTTTAATAGTAAACTACACCCACATATTTCATAGGGCAACCTCACTATTCAAAATAGCTTTATCCTTACTTGGTTCATAAGACTAATTAAAACAATTGATCATTTCCTCTGGCAAAGATAAAAAAAAATATGTTATAATAAAATATCGGATATGTACTTAATTGTTTAAGACTTGTTCACATAGAATGGATGGATAATAATTGAATAATGAAAAGTATAATATTTTAATAACCTCTTTTACAGTCATTGATCTCTCGTTATATATATGCTCTTTATTATATTTTCGATTTAGCTGTTTATGACCACACATTATGAATTATTTATTAGCAAAAATATTGTTTTATGGATTTTTAAAAGATAACCAATATACTTTATCATACACCTGTTTACTTTCCAATAATTTTATTTATAAATATTGATTTATTGACAGCGCAAAAATGTTTATATTGTTTCTTGAAATCCATCGTCTTGAACCAAAGTGTCATGATGATAAAGTGATGCTCACAATGTACATTGTACCTCATGGGTTTTCTCCAGATCTTCTGGTTTTCCTCCACTGCTAAAAATTCCTATGCGCAAATGAATTATGGAAATAAAATTGTATCATATGTGGGTCCAAAAATAGTATAGTTTATGTCGAGTGGATGTTAAATCTCTTGTTCTCTGTGTGCATATGTATGGTTTCTTTCTTGATTCACATAAACTGTTTCATCTTACGAATGACCATATATCTGTTTTACAAACTTCTCAGATTCAGTATCCTGTCGATCGATTAGTGTAATTAGTGGTAGGTGTAATGCATATGGAAGAGTATATGCTTACTTTTTTCTAAATTGACTTAGTTATGTATAGCAAAGCTAGTTACATGTACCTTGGCGTATGGCAAAGCTAGTTACAGGTACCTTGGCACGATCTTCTTGCAAAGTGAAAAATGAAATGCTGATTAACGTCCTAATTTGATAACATATATATCTTTTTGAAACCTGATCGCATATTTTATCCATTAAACAAAATCCATAGGTGTCCATTTAAAAAGTGACGTTTTTTTTCATTGTTCAAGAGCTGTTTTGAATTGTTGGTACAGTTGCTTTGGATATAATCATCAGCATTCTGAGAGGTGCAGCAGATGTCCTCTGCAAATAATCAGGCCAATGAAGTTGAGAGAACATAGGTTAAGGTCAATAGAAAAGGTTACCTTCTCTGGCACACGGCTAATGAAGATGCAAATAAACAGAAAGCACATGTTGCATGTTCAAAGTGTTAAGAGAATACCTTCGATAAAGGTCTTACCACATTACCGCTATAGACTTAACTGTTCTTCAGACCAGAGGGGTGAGTTTCTTGTTTTCTTAAACAATATTTGAATAAATCGCTGTATGAAATAGTGAAAGTTACTGAAATTCTAAAGAAAAGTATGAAATGATTATAAAACGGATTGTTGAAAAACTTGCAGCATAAAATAAAAATGAAATGAAATGAGATTTAATGTCCTACTTTTTTGCACCGACTGGGCTGATGAGGTGTAAACAATAGTAAAAACAAAACCTCTCATAGTTAAAATATGAATTTTGAAAAGTATAAAATTATATGTTGTGGAATTTCCTACCATTTTATTTAGTTTTTATCTGTAAGCCTGTCTATGCATTTTAACTAAATAAGACTTGAAAATAGTGCAACATATTATATATAATTACTTTTATGCAGATAATAATTTCTAGTCCCCAACTTATAGAGCGGACCATTATATTTGACTTTTCTATGTTTGTTTTCCTGAATTTTGTTTGTATTATTTATAAAACTTTAAGAAATTTGATTGAAATTAAATATAGATATCTGTGTAGATAAAGTTTGCCTTTGGTGGGATTATGTAAAACTTTTTTCAGGAATTTGTTAGGTTAGTTTTTGAGGTAGTTAGGTGAAGTTATGTAGCTACAGATTATATATTGAGTTCGAGTTTTGTGAGATTCTGGTATTTTTTTCTTTTTTTACAAGTGTTAATTTAAACATTACTTTTTTCGGAATCTGTTGGTTATATTTTGAGGTATTTGTTTGAAGTTGTAAAATTGGTGTTTGGGACCAGTAGGAGACTTAAACTAAATGATGCTACATGTATTTCTGTGTTGTTTTTTTGTGTAATCATTTTGTGTAATCATTTTGTGTAGTCATTTATCGCTGTTTCCTAAATGTTCCATTATACAGCGTTATTAGGAAAGGATAAGAATCACAAAGTCAACTGTTTTATCCTAGTCCAGATTATATGGAGCATTTCTTATGACTTTGAATCAGTTGTCAAACAGTCTGTTATGTGGGAGGTGTCCATGTAATGCTAATTGACTATTGATCAAAGACCGTTTGTATTGATTGGGCGGGGTAGTTGCTAGGAATTTTTACAGGCGGAGTAATTCTTTAAATGGGAAGAAAATTGGACCTTTTGATTGTGGGTAACTGGGTTAGCGTAAGAAAATGGGTGAAAATATGATGCAAATAGACTGTCTAGGGGTTCGTAATTTAATTACGTCTGTGTTTAAGTAATCAGACAGTTGACAGGGCATTGGTTTCATTCTTAAAAGTCGACTTACAATTTCAAATCATTTTACACTTTTCAATAATCATTGGTAATCAGACTGATTAACTTTTAGTGGCTTTTTAACTGACAACTTTCTAAATGACATAACTAGAAATGATAAGTTTGTACAGGTCAGAAGATTCTGTGTTTTTTCTGCAGAAAATTTTGTCTCAAAAACATGGTTCTAAAATCTTAAAAAAAAAAAGTGCATAATGAACTTGTATCAAATATATTTACATTTTAGAACTTACGGTTTTTCATTTAGTCAAGTAGCGTGTGGTTTTGATCCTGAGCTTGTAGGGTCGCCTGGTTTTATTCCACTGCTAAAGACCCCTATGCAAAAACAAATCATTGAGAAAATATTGTACCATATCTTACTTGAGGGGACATTAAACCCCATTTGTCCCTTTGTCTGTTTAAACAGAGTAATTGGTATTGCAGGGAAGTTTTCTGAAACTGAACTTGGTATTTAAGTCATACTAATCCACTCATTTCAAGAAAGACAAAAGTTTGCTCCTCCGTTTGCATAGTGTTCTTTTTGTTTTGTTGTTATTCAATTTGTGTTCTGGTGTTATATTTACATGATGTGAAGGGGACATTATTTTTGGCCATGATTCAAGTCCTGGTTTATGATAAAAGCTGCAACAAGTAAGGTTGTCCATGGGCCAAGACAGGTTATGTGTGTTCTGATCCTCGTTACTGTCTTGCTATTATCTTGTTAAAACAAGAAAATGTCACGCTTTATTTTCTTTACAAATTTTGTAACCATGACTGGTCAATGTGGTATTTCATCCTCCAGTCTTAAGTACAATGTATCATTTCTTTAGTATTTGTTATTACTTTCCAGAAGAATTCTGGAACCACATTCTGTCTTTTAATATTTGATATTCTATCAAAATTTGTACAGGACAATAAATACTGTTTTCTTTGTATACAATAAATGAAATTGTAAGATATTGATATTGGCCCCAGATCATGAAACTTTTGAAAAATTAACTGAATTTCCTTATTGAGGTAAGATACATATATTGTAGAATGTAAACTGAATACTATTAACTACAGGTAGTTATTGCAGTCTTCCTCTTGTCAGTGATGCAGGACGGAGGGCCTGACAATGACAGCTGTCTAGTCATTCAGATAGAAAGAAAATCTGAGGTCCCATTTAAATGTACACAGTGACATGCATACAAAAGATCCCTTGGCAGTTGAAATTCGATATAAGAGTAGGCCATAGTGCTGCTGTCGGGGAAAAATTACCCTCATAGTACACTGTATGGCATATGCCCGTCTTCATTAGCCCAGTTGGAGCAAAACAGTAGGACGCTAAACCCCATTTCATTTCAGTTATTGCAGTGTAATTATTAAAAAAAAAAAATATGTTAAATTTACTTTTGTTCAGGTGATATCACAGACGAACTTAATGGATTATATCTTAAATAGGTTAAGGTATACAAATTGGGTGGAATCCCATTATCATCTGTCTATATAACATTAAATAAACAGATATTGTCAAAGGTATAGATGACATTGTTTTAGTCATGAATTTAATGTTTTACATCAGTTTCATGATCTTTCTGCCACTCATATTTCCATCCTCAGTAATAATTTATGGTTTAATGTTTGACACTTGATATAATCTTCCGGCTTACATACAGGCTAATTTTCATAATATCATCATCATTTTCCTCATTTATAACTCTTAATGATGAAATTCAAGACAGATGCACTTTTTGTTATGGCAGAGGCTTACTCGTAATCTGATTTAAAAAATTACTAGTACTTAACTTAAAGACGTTTAATATGTCTTAATAGTACTGAAATTATTTGGTATGGAAAAACAACTGATTATATGGCTTATTCAGTCGTTGCAGTTTGTATTGTATTAAGCTCCCCTTAATGAACAAACTGTAAAAATCGCTCCCCCTAAAAAAGCTGTCCACGTTTCAATAAGAAGAGTGATTTAGAAATTAAGGAGAGTGATCTGATATTAATTAGAGTTGTGTATATTAATGAGAAATGGTTCTGAAGATCAATAACTGCATTTAAGGGATTATTCCTGGTTACATAAATGATAATAAACATTGTCTACCCTCTCTGTCTCACGTCTCGTGAGAGTTCTACTTTACAGTTCAGTTAAAATTAACCAATAGGTGCCATTAATTTTTAGCAACATATTCATCGGAATTATATTACCATGTGCGATCACTAATCAAATGTACAAAATAATTGTTCACATTGATTCACAATGATTTGACAGCATGCCGGTGATCTTTCACACTCTTTTAAAAAAATAATACATATGTGCATGATTTACAAATAAGGAGAGTGATTTTAAATTTTAAGGCGACGTAGATACCCCCCCCGGTTGACATTCTGGTGTGTGGCAGGCACTCCCGAGCGATTGTGCGCCTCAAACTGCACAAATTTTGCTATTCTAAGATTTTTATCAACGTCTTTTTGTTTTTTTCAGGAATTTATTTAAAGATCTCCTGGAACCACATCAGTTTAATTCCATTTCAGGTGAGTAGGAATGTTTGTATTCGGAAGGTCTACAGGATTTAAATCTAGCCCTACTAGTAATAAGTATAGCAGTATTACATCTGAATGGAGTTGTGAGTTTTATGTCCCAGTGTTATTGCTACATGAATTTTATGACATGATTATTTAGAATCTTGTTTGCACCATCTCAGTGAGATTTGGTGATCCACGAATCTGCTCTATTGCACAACCACTGTCAACCAGGATGATAGTCAAAAATGCCATTTTAAATATTCAAACTTGAGTTTGTGCTTACTCCAGAGCATCTAGATTAGGCAAGTTTATAAAGACTAATAGAATGGTATCATTTTGTGACTTTATTGTTTTAACGAGAGATCTTGATTTGTACAATTGGATCTTAGACTATAGAACATCAAATTAACTCTCAATTGAACTTATTCTATCTAAAATTAATGAAATATATAAATTTATAATAACAGACAGCTACTCCCTTCTTATAAAGGGAGCCACAGTGGCTCAGGAAGAAGCTGGTTCGCTAACCAGGATGTCTCGGGTATAACATTACCTCATTTTATTTCATATCCTGCTCATAAAATTATTCAGGTAATTCGATTTCAGGACAAGGTTATAAAAACATTAAAACCTGTCATAATCAATCTTTGTAGTTTATTTCTGTCTTATGCTTCAGTTTTAACATTTACAAAGTATACAAATTATGACAAATTAATAAAGTGACTTTTTGAAAAAAATCGTTGAAAGAAAGGTACATTAAAGTCAACTTTTTGAAATAGCCTTTTTGAAGATCTACACCTAATTAAAAATCAAAATATTTTCAATTTTTTTTATATTTCACATTCTTGTAAGTTCATTCATGTTGTTACAATTGTGAACATGGTTCCTAGAACTTTAAAAAGTCATCTTTTCTTTGTAGATTACTTTCATAGCCTCTTTTTTATTTTAATTCCTTTTTGAAAAAGTTGTTTTAAAATGATTCACAGCCGAAAACATGTTTGCAAAATTTAAGTCCCAATATTTTTTTTTCAAAATTTGTGTTAAAAGCTCATTGTGCATTTAATCAGCTTTAAGTGTTTTAACACCTGCATGGCAAATTGTCTTTACCTGAAAAATAACCTTTGTTTTATTTACATGTCAAGGTCAATATGTTAAGTATTTTGGTGGAGATTCGTCTTGACTGAATTTAGTCAATAGATCTTTGAACTTGAAAGTAGCAGTACGACCTAAGCAGTACATATTAAAAGATTGAACCGATGTGTAAACTCAAGCTAGGTTAAGGATTTAAGTCTTAAGTCAGAATTTCAGTAATCTGGCACAGTTCTAGTTAGCTTTCTCCCTTAATCTTGATACCTGTTGTTGAAGTGCACATAAAAATTTATTATCGGCTGCATTCTCAAATCTATCAGTTATAAACTGTATTCTCAACCTCTGGCATCACAGCTTAACAGAATGTGTAGTGGAGTTGAGGTAGCAGTGTCCGAAAACATTCAGGCTGGCTAAATCCTTCAAAATTTGATGTTTTGTCAAGTTAAGTGATTATTTAGACTTCCTTTATCCTGTGGAGGGGATCGGGGTAGTCTAGTGGTTTAACATGTTAAGTCAAGTGAAATGGTTTTGATTCTCTGCTTGTACGTGACAAGGAAGGAGTAGGGTTGCCTGGCAAACCTCGTGAGTTTCCTCCAGGTTCCCTGGTTTCTTCCCACTGCTGAAGACTCCTACACACAAACGAATTATTGAAATAAAATTGAACCATGTTAGTCCCGAAATGACCTAGTTTGTGTCGAGTGCATGTTAGACCTCATTCTCTCTCTTTCTCTCTTTATCCTGAGGAGTTGCAGCTTAATCATACCACCGAACATGAATTTGTACATCCCATTTGTTATGAATTTGAATTAAAATGGAAACTTAGTGTTCCACTTGTTGCTTTCTGGCAAACTGGTAACATTGAAATAGGGAAATTTAACAAGAAGATTTAACCTGCATTTGAAAAGTTTTATGGTGGTAATCACTACCTCATTGGTTTCAGTCTGCTATTGTTAGAGATCTTGTTTATCCAAACTACTGTATAATGTTTCCATTTGATCATACTCAGCTGTACCAGGTAGGGTACGCTTGTTCTTTCATGAATCCTTGGTACCACTTTACATTATATATTTTCTCTCTTTTGAAAATATAATTCTGACAATTTGAAGTTGGAAAAGATGAACGTTTCTCAATTTATATACAAAGTTATATATGTTTCCACCACAAACATATCCTGTTTAGATAAGAATTTTTCTATTTTACTTTTGATTTTCTACTTATTTGCTATATATCTCATTTAAAACCTGAGGTTTGATCTCTGTGTTAGCTAAGGAAGTTTCCCAGAATTTTCTAACTTGGCTTCTCCTTGTCAGTTGTGAAGGACAGATATCCTGGTGACAAAAACAGTGTTTAGTTGTTCGGATGGAACAAAATGCCAATGTCCTGTGTACATATTGGTGTGCATGTAAAAAAAAAAACCTTAACAAGTGGATTTCTAGACAAAATTTCTATTATCGTACACTGCAAGCTGTCTTCATTAACCTACTTCAGAAAAGTAGGACATAAACACTGTTTCTTTTAATTTCATTATGCCTGATAACTAAAATCATGCCTTCTCTAATTATAGTAACAAAAACCAATTAGATAAATGTTTCTTGCAGTATCTGCGTTTTTTGCTAACTATAAAACCAGATAAACTTCCTAAAACAGACATAAAAGGGTCATGAGGAATACATGTGGTAAAAAGATGAAGATGTAAAGCACCCATTTCATTTTGGATTTGTCTTCAATTCCACAACAACATGTGGTTTTTTTCAGTCAGACGGAGCCTATGCGCTATGTAACCTATGAATATCTACTAAAGTTAATCTTTATAAAATGTTTTATCCAGATGAGAAACTGATAATACCATTGGAAGTATGGGTTTTCCATCTGATCATTTCCTTCGACTTATTTCCTTCGACTTATTTCCTTCGAGTGCTAAAATACCAAGAGTTATGGGCACATTTAAGACACATGTACCCCTGTTAATGATCATTGCATTTATATCTCCTCAGTTCTCATATGATCTTTAACGTGTATGATAAACTGGATTTTTTGCTCAGGTATGTTATTTTTGAATTCATGTTCTTCACCTTGTGCCATTTCACTTATAATTCTATGTTTTATTGAGAAATTTTATTTTAAGATAATTTCCAGTTTTATCTTGAGAATTAAGATAAAAGGCATTAAATATATACATTTATATATGAATATAATCATTTTCATTTATTTGTGAGCTGAAATAGTTAATTATATTTTTTTGATTAGTCTTGATAATTTGCTTATTTTGGGTTTGTATATTTGTAGTTAAAGGATGTATAACTCTAGCTCAGTTTTATCCATAATATTTGAAATTAAAACATGAATTACGATTGATTATCTTGGTCCATTTTTATGAATATCAACATTATCCTACAGAGAAAATATGAGCACCTTATATCAGATATTTAAAACAGAATGAACATATTTTAAAATCTGATTGGACAATCCAGGAGCAAAGGACAGCTATTCAATTTGGACTCAAATATTTAAACGACCCTAGAGATTGCCATTTGGTGTATTGGGACAAACATAACTGATTTGAAATTATAGTAAAAACAGAAACGATTGAATGTAAATCATATTATATACATTCATAATACATTATTAATGTGTTGCAACCCATTTGCTTCAATTAAATTTCTAGGTCTCAAATATTAGCAATTTAGCTCCTTTAAATTTCCAAAGAATGGAGCTATACACCCTTGAAGTATGGGTAAAAAATTGCTTCTAGGATCTTACTGAAATCCAGTGCATGACTTAATAGATTTCAGTGCCTTCCACAAATCATCATTAAGGCTGTTTGATCATATAATCAAAGCCTAATTAATTAAAATTTCTTCAGGCCATTTTGACAGAAAGGTTGTTTTAATTAAAGAAGCAGTTGGTCTACTTTTTAATTGAGCTTATTTTCTTTTCTTGATGATGTTATAATTTATTAAAAATGTGTAAAATATATAACTTAATGATCAGCTTTTACAAATTTCTGACAATATTAATTCCAGCTTTTTAAAGGGACAGTCTGTAGATTTTATAGGACAGTGTGAGCCCTGTAGGACACTATAAATAAAAGGGGGTTTAAAGGTTTTTTTTAAATGCAAGTTAATAATATAATGATAAAATTGTAAAGTTTCTGACAATATAAGTTTAAAGGGACAGTACAAGGATTGTCCAAGTACTTCACAGGACACCCATAAATAAAAAGTGTGTTTCAATTTCTTTTTAATATATAAATTAAATGCAAATTGTGATGTGTTTTTCTGGTGGGAAAGGGGATTTAATCTGGCTTTTAATATTTCTAGCCCCACAATTTCTTAATCCGCTCCAGCACATAACTGTATGTATGTAAATAAGCTTTGATTATCTGAAAAATTCATGTTCATAAATTGATCACATTTGTTATTCAAATGTTTAAACTATTCCATATTTAGCTGTGAGTATTAAGTCACGTTCCTGGTATGTTTAAATAAGTGTTTTCTTCTGTTTATACTTTATTTACTAATTATTTTAATGCAACAGCTGTTTGGTATAATACTACAAAAGCATATTATCTATAAATATCTCCACCCTCTTAGGATCTTAAATGACTTTTATAAAATTCCATTGATGTGTGAAGTTAATATAATAGTCATGATTATAGACTAACTTTATTTAGATTTTAATTGTAGTTAATTATAGATTTCAAACGATGTTTTATTTCTTTCTGCTTAAAAATATTTAAACTTTAATGAAATAATACCATTAACGATACATGGCCTTCACAGTGCCGAAATCAAAAGTATAAAATTACCATCCTTGAATGACATTTAGAAGTACTTAATGTGGAGGTATAACATTCAAAATAACACAACTTTATGGATTTAATATGTCATGGTTTTAATACTTTTACAGGTATATCTATC